TAACAATTCACTCAGCCGTCCCTATACCCTATTTGGTAATTGGCACCAAAAACATCATCGTCTCGGTATCTCTTTCGGTATAAAGGTGAACCAAATCTCCCAAACCCTTATGGTATTGGATTTCTCAGCCTCGTCCAACTGAAGTAATGTTCACAGTAGGGTTCCCTATGTACCTAGTCCGTCCACCCTTTCTCAAGATGCCCAGTAAGCTTTTATTTATTTAGATTCTCCAAACAGCCACCAAAGCATACAAACGTCTCATGTTATAATCACTGATCAATTTAAACAACATTTAAGTAAGTGATTTAATTTATCATAACCAATAACCGAGTAACTAGATAAACAGATAAATGATGCATAATTGGACCAAATAAACCGGATAATCAAGAAACTATAAAAACTATCAACGAAAACATGCACAGTATAATAGTAAGTAATTTACGCAGTACAGAAAAATAAATAAGAAATCAAGATAAATGTGAACTAACCAGTTCACAGCTCCACTAATTACTTGTAATATTTTTAGGGTATTTCTAATTTTTTTACAAAATACATAATTATTAATTATTAATCCTCAATTTATCGTAACCAAGAACTGTTCACTATGTCTCCAAACGAATCCTAGATTTTCTGAATTTTTCCTACGGGAACCCAAAATACTTGTCAAGTACTTAAAAATACCCAAAATTGGTATTGAAAATCCTTTATGACAAATTTTAGGGTTCCAACACTATGGCGCCAGTGTGCTCCGATGTCGGCTCTGCCGCCCACAGTCGTGGTTCACCTTGGTCTGACCGATTTTGGCCGCTTTTGATCAGTTTTACATGAATTCCTGTAAAAACATACGTTAAGAAGCCTCGATTGGGCAAAAAAACTAAAAAACTGAACCCACCAGTGAAGGGGTCTCCATGTGCAGCGGTTCTGCCGGTTCTCCTTCGCGACTGGGGATTCTTCTCTAGCTAATCTACATAAAAAAGAACGGCGAACACAATGGTCAAATAATCACGTAAAACTAGAAACGGGAAAGAGCTCATCCGAGAAATTTTAGAATTTTGTTGTGGCAGCTCTGTCGAATTTTGCCTACAGTTTTCAGCTCACTCATCGTCCCACTTGCTCCGATATGGCCACAAAGAGGCTCGAAATCGAATTTTGAGTAGGTAGGAAATTTTTTTACCTTTTTTGGCAGTCGGCGGTCGGCCTTCTTCTCTGGTGTCTGGTTCGTCTTCTCCGGCAGGGGCTAGCGGCTAGGGTTTGGGTTGCCCTGCGAAGAGATGTTTAAATACTCTTCTCCTCTTCGATTCGTGTCATTCATTTACGTTGACATAGAGCGAAAAGAATCGTTCGATCGTTTTCCGTTTAAATTGATGATGATGTTGAATCTCGTCCGTTCATCGCATTTGATCTCGTCCGTTTGATCAAGCCTAAAGGAGGAATGCATCTGGACCGTCCATGCGCACGGGATCAATCTTCGGCATCGGATCGCTAGGCACATGGATCGCTCGCATGGCCCCTGCGTGGTGCTGACATTAGCATGATTGCCACACGGTACTCCCTAGTTCACTGTGGCTGCTGACTAGGNNNTATTACAGAGTTTCTTATCATACTCATTCCTGTCTTACCATATTTATTTTTTTCTATCGATATCACTAAGGGCCTATAGGAATCTCTGCTACGCGTAGGTACATAACACTTCCTTGTAAATCATCGGCCGTCTCCATACCCCGTCCGGTAAGGAGCGCCACATACTAAAGATCGTCTCTATACCTTGTCTGGTATGAGTGAAATCAATTAACTCCCAACTCCATCCGGTATGGGATTTTCCAACCCCGTACAGCTGAGAATAACATCTATGGTAGGGTTCACCCTATATACCAAGTTCATACACTCTTTTCCACGATACTCAATAAGTTCTTTTATTCAACAACATTAATTTACGCATATTTTTTCTTTTTATTTATTATTTAGCATCAATTACACGTATGCTTGTATATCAAATAACACCAGAGTACAAAATTCTTATTTCAAAATACGTAAGAGAATAAACTCATAAATAAAAGTGGGATAAAATAGAGTAATAGAATAAGAAATTCAAACGTTGTAATATGATGAATAAGAAATGAAACAAATAAATCAAGGTGAAATTAAGTATAATAGAATGTGATAATGAAGCGGAATGGAATAAAATATAATAATTCAAAATGCGTTATTAATATATTCATTCTAGATAGATATAACAAAAGAAGAATGAAAAACATATTAGACTAACTTAGAGGACATAGATTAGAGTAAAATAAGGTGAAGTAAATTAAAGTAGAACGAAATAAAAATAAATAGACAAAATAAAATAATGATAAAATAATGAATAGATAACATAATTAAACTAGTGACGAACATAAAGAAATTGGTTATTGACTCAATCGGCAACCTGTATTTAATCATCATGGAATCATAAGACTATTTAGAATTACCGTTTGTTATTGTTTTAACTTTAATTTACCGTAACATTAGAAAGGTTGAGGGATTCTTACACAGAGTCGGGTTCCAGGACATTGTTTTTTCGTTATGGTTTGCGACAACTCTTGACTCTTGGATTTATTGGATTTTCTGCTAAAATTTTGAAACACATATCAAAACACCGTGAAAATACGTAAGGAATGGTGAAAAGGGCATAAAAACTCACCAGGGTCGGGTTGGGGTTCCGGTGTGACGGTGCCTCTGAGCTCCGCCACATGGTTCTCCTTCTCCGACATTTCTCCCTTTCAGCCAAGTCAATTCGAGCAATTTCCTGATGGAAATTAGTGTAAATTGTGGAAATGAGGGTGTTTTACAGAGAAAAGAGGGAAAATTTGGCCTTACCAAGCGATTTTCGTTCTCCGGTGCAGCGGTTCAACCAAGCTTTGTTGTCTCTCTCTCTCGGGTTACGACTTTTCTTGGTTAGTCTGCATCGGAAATGGTTTAGATAGCTTAGGATGGAAAAAAGGAAGAAGGGAAAGAAAATTTAGGCTTACCAATGTGTTTTGGGTCTCCGGCACAGTGGTGTCGTCGTCCCTCTAGCAACTGAGCTTCTCCTCCGACTGCCCTTCTTCGTCTTCTTCGATCAAGCTGTAGGCTAGGGTTTGGGGGCCAACTGAAGAGAGATGTAATATATCTCTCCCTTTGATCTAGACCATCTGTTCGGGTCCGCATGGAACAACAGGAGCCATTCGATCGGGCTTATTCAAAAAATTAATTTGGGCCGTTTGCGCACGTAGGAGTGGACATGAGCCATTTGATCTTCTTGGCACGCAAATTGCCAGCGTGGGCTTCCTGCGTGGAGCCTGTGTTGATGCAGCTGCCACGTGGCATGCGGTGATTCGTTGTGCTGCTGACTGAGCGTGTACGTGGCCTGTTTCTTCTTTTTTTACGAATTGACTCATATTTTCTAAATTTTCTTTTAAACGTGTTTTCCTTTATTTACATATTGGTCTTAATTTTTGAAATTTATTTCAAAGGTGCCCAAAATTTATATATTCTTTTTAATAATTAGTTTTGCATCTTTTAATTAAAAAAAAAAAAGAAATTCAATTATTATGATTATTTAAAAAAATTAAAATTTTACTATTGCGAGATTAATTTTTCCGAAATGTTATATTTCTGTTGGTCTTTTAATATTTCAGATGATTTTACTTTTAAGTGTAAAAAGGAGGCCGCGAAAAACGAAACTCTTTGTGGAGAAGGTGGAGACCGAGTCAACGCGATCTGACTTCGACCAATCGGTGTGTCTATTTGTTAT